TGGCTTGCACATGTGGTAATAGAGATCTGTATTTGGGAGAGCTCCAGGCCTCGTGTAGTCCCTGGTACAGAGTGCCCCCTGAATTGATGCTTGAACTGGGAAAAAAGCATAGTAAATGTTGGAATTTCCACTATGGTTGAGACTTCCAGGTTTCTATAACCTCTCTAGCCCACCTTAATGTTGGCTGCACCCATACTGGGTAATTTGGTGGAACTCCATGTTATGTGCATGTAGAGACAGGGCCTAGAATGCTTCTTCTCTTTCCTTTTTCTAACACTCATTCTCCTGGGCCTCCTAGATCCTCCCAGAGCAGTGCCCAGGGCTGGCTTGGTGCTACATTCAGGCAATATTTGTTAATAAGGCCCTTTCCTCATCTCTTCTGAGCCTCCGTTTCCTTCTCTGCACAATGAGACCGTAGACTAGATAAGTCCTTTTCAGTTTCTTTTAAAGCCATGTTTCCTTTGAGAAACAGAAAATGCAAATCTCTCCTCCCATTGTAACCCTTTAGATTTTGATACATCCTCCAAGGAGTGACATAGCTCTTTGTGGAAAAGTGATGTGATTGTGATTCCAGATGGCACAGAAAAGACTCTTCAGAAATTTATTGCAGGGAAAGGGCAGGAAAGGGGCAGTATGTCACACTTTCTAGGGTGAGCAATGGAGTTGGGGATTGGGTTTAAATACGATGTCTGATGTGTCCTCTCTCAAATCTTGCACAATGTGGTAAACCTCTCTCCCTCAGTTTCTTCATGTGTCAAGTTGGGGTGATAGCATTTTAGGCTTTTTCTGAAACATTATATACATAATCCATTTGTGTCTCGGTAAAAATAAGAGGTGCTAGAGAGTCAGTGATTTCTTTAAAAAAAAAAAATCTTGTCCATAGCACTCTGTCTGTGTGTATTTTGATGTTCCTGGAGGGTGAGTGTTGAAGCTAAAGTCCATCGTGGGACAGGTGGCCAATGGTTCTGATTGCCCCCTCCTCCCCAGTCCTCTTCCCCTCAGTCCAGGATGAAGTTCCCTGGTAGATTTACACAGAGTTCTTATGGAAATGGCTTTTCATTTTATTGTTTCACCAAGGAGGGCTGCCATCATGATCTCTGTGGTAAGGTTTTGGTGACCTGAAGGCTATGCATTTGGGGGTTTCTATTTAATAAAAAGAAAAAAATTACAAATACAAACTTAGACCTAGGGTGGTGACAGGGGCTCTTGAAAGTGGGGACCATTAGCTTTGTTAGCTTCAGGTGCAGTGGCCTCTGGCCATGAGGACCCATCCTCGTGCTCTGAAGTTGGAGGGACCAGTGGGTTCAGTGGGAAATTTAACTGAGTGTATCTCATGGTCTAGGGATTGTCCTATTTGTGCTGTGTGTTCCTTATTTGAGACAATGAACTCATTTAACCTCGATAGCCTCTTTAAAAAATTAGGCTTTTAATTTTGTGATATAATGTAGATTCCCATGTAGTTGTAAGACATAATATGGAGAGGGCCAATGGACTCTTTGCCCAATTTTCCTTAATGGTTCAATCTTGCGAAATTCAGGTACAATTCATTACTGACTCACTAACCCTTTGACGTTTGTATTATTGCCCTCATTTCTATTCATGATTAAACTGGGACTTAGAGAAGCACATAGTCCTGCACAGTTCACCCACATGGTTAGTGTAGAGTCGGGTGAACGTGGGCTTGGGATTTCCAGGCAGTACCATTATGATGGTCTGTGGCAGGGAGCATCATTCACTTTGCTTGTTTATTCATTCATTCAACATTTATTGAGTAACCTCTGTGTGTCAGATACTTTCATAGGGTTATCAGATTTTTTAGCAGTACTGAGAATCAGGTAATATTTTCTTTTTTTTTAATCTGAGAAAATTAGCTCTGAGAGGTTATAAACCCCCAAAGGAAATATAGCTCATAAAGGAGGGATAGAAAAATTTGTACAGTCCCCCCCCCCATTTTATGCAGGTGGTACCCTAGGCATTTTACATTTGCAAACTTCCATAATCCAGATATATTCTTGTAAAGCAAGGATTTTTTTTTAATTGAAGTATAGTCAAGTTTACAATGTTGTGTCAATTGCAAGGTGTTTTCTGACTTTTGTATTAAAAA